TCTTTCTTTCTTTCTTTCTTTCTTTCTTTCTTTCTTTCTTTCTTTCTTTCTTTCTATCTTTCTTTCTTTCTTTTCATTCATTTATTTATTTATTAATCTAGGAGCGGGGTGCGGTGGGGGAGGAGGTACGTGGTTAAGTACAGAATGCTTAATCCTATCCGTACGCCCTGTGGTCATTTTGTACCCCCGTGGGTGTATTTTTCACATTTTAGAATACTTTTAGTACGAAGATCTCTTTGAAAATTTCAGTATTTCTCAAAAATTCATATTGACAGACTGCTTTGAAAAGCGTACGGATCTGATTAACGAGTAAAGTTCCTTTTTAGAAAGTGGTGGCACAGAGTTCCCTACGTCGTATGGATACGATAGTAAAACACGACGTACGTATAGGGTTAAGATGACAGTGATCGAGAGGGCTGGATTATAAAAAACTGGTAACGATGCCATTTTCGCTTTTAGGTAGGCTACAATTATTTCTAAACAACAAAGTGATGGATGACTTGGTCACAGGAAACAGGGACTGTTGGCTCTGTGTGCTGAGTCATATTACAATATTCTCCACAGCAGATGCATTGGCCATAGTCAGACATTGACGAACAAACTGTTTTTATTCGACTGACAAGGTCATCTGGTGGGAAAGCGGTTTCCATGTTTCAGAAGGTATCATTAAAACGCCTGACAATTAACAATACTTGGATGTAAGGATGAATGAAAATACAGGGGGGGGGGCTTTCAACTGAGCAATGGAAGCTTAATTTAAAGAAATACATAAACTATTGGCAAAAAAATAAAATAAAAATAGAAATGAACACAAAGGGATAGTGACTACTGAAAAGATACGACACGAGCTGAAAACACATTTTGTTGGCTTGGAAAACGTTATGGAAATAGAGGCCAAGGACATAATAGAACGTCAAAGTCAGAGAATTAGAAAAAAGTAAAAAGAAATGAAAATAAAACGGAGCAAAAAGTAAAGCAAAACAAAAACAAAAGAAAAAATCAACAACAAATAAAAAACAGTTGCACCAGATACGAAACAAACAAACGAACAAACAAAAACATAAACAAACTAAAAAAAAAAACCCACAAAAAACCCCAAAAGACAACCCTCTCCACCACCAACACCTCACAACACAACACACTAATCTAGAAGAAATAAAACCGAACAAACCTGAACCTATTTCGCCAGTCTTCAAACAGACAAGACAGGCCTTCATAATGAACTTGTCAGAACATGAAAACCATTTTGGGTATCCTGACACACTGTTCTTCTTCTTTTTTTTTTCTTAAAAAAAAATAAAATAGAATCACCAGTTCTAAAACAAAAGGCTCTGAAAGTGAGACAGGTGGAAATTGTTATAATACAGGAAGACTCGGCTGCAGAATAAAACCCCCAAAACAATACCACCCCCCCCCCAAAACAACATCAAAACAAAAATAAATAAAAATAAAAAACAAGAACAATGCTTTGCCGTTTTGGGATCTTCTCAGTTCCGAAGACAGTTTGTTCGATATACGGCAAGCATTAAAATTTCAACATCTTCATTCCCCTACTTGGATGAATTGTACATAACAGCTTGCACTAAGAAAATTAATTCCATCTTTTTAGACAACAAACATCCCTTGTTCCC